GTTATTAGACAGGAGAGTCGGTTTGTTATTTAAAGACTACTTTGATCCCAATGTTTGTGAAATTGTGCTCCAAGTTTGTTTAATGTTGTTTAATATTCTTAGCTATATTGACTTGTCTGCCAAGCTTTATGTACGCGACTTTACATGATCCACTTGGTACAGTGGGGTTCGTTCGCAACTCACTCTGGAGTCCCGGGTTCGAATTCCAGGCGGGACAGAAATGGTTGGGCACTCACCCAATGCCTCTGTTCACCCAGCAGTAAATAAGTACCCAGGAGTTAATCAACTGTTCTGGGTTGCATACTAGGGAAGGTCCGTAGTTTGACCTGGGGGGAGGGGGGGGGGAGGCTTCGAATGATAATAAATATAGCAACAATAATTATAAGTTATTACTTCCTTTATGTTCACATGTGTGGGTTGGATGTCTTAATTAACTGCCCAAGTGGTTGGGGCACCATTCCTTCCCCCACCCCCCTGTCCCATCCCAGATCCTTATCCCTTCCCAGTGCTATATAGTCGTAATGGCTTGTTGCTTTCTCTGATAATTCCCTTCCCTTCATTCCTTAAAGGCATTACACAGGAGTGAGGGGATTAATCAGTTTCATCCCACCTTCATGTCACTTCCGTTATTCGATATTTTGTTTATTGATTTTTATCTTACTCAGGTGTAGTGAGGTATATAATCCCAAACCCTTGTCTTCTCTGTCAAGGATTACAGCCCCGCTCCTGTGCCAGGTAAGTCCACTACGAGCTCACCATAGCCCGTGCTACCTGGAACTTTTTGGTCAGAGTAGCTTAATCTTAAACATCTGTCCTCCTGGGAGGCTTAATCTTCATCAATCAATCAATCAATCCTTCTCCGTCGCCACAGGCCCAGACACACATCAAGATGTTACATGACCAAAAACCACATTTTCAAACATCTACCACCTATGGTCTAATGTGGCGAGGCCTCTTGTGGTGGCTTAATCTTCATCAATCTGTCTGTATCCCTTGATGTGTTATCATGATGTGTTATCACGAAAACGTTCGGAATTTGTTTAATTTTTCTAATTGGATACTTACGCATACTCAGATTTCTGCTCGTCGTTAAAAGTTACTTTCATTTAAGAACAAAAGAACAAGGTAACTGCAGAAGGCATATTGACCCATACGAGGCAGCTCCTATTTATAACAACCCAATCCTACTCATATACATGTCCAACCCACGCTTGAAACAATCGAGGGACCCCACCTCCACCACGGTACGCGGTAATTGGTTCCATAAATCACCCTAAATCTAAACTTATCCAATTTATACCCATTGTTTTTAGATTATGCAGTTCAGTTTTGGTCGCCGTACTATAGAATGGATATAAATTCATTTGAATGTATCAAGCGTAGGATGAAAGTTAATTCCCCAAATTAGAAATCTTTCATATGAAGAAAGATTAACAAAGCTTAAATTGCATTCACTGGAAAGGCGAAGAGTTAGGGGTGACATGATAGAGGTTTACAAGTGGATCATTTATATATATTATAAACAACAGAGGTCCCAATACAGAGCCTTGAGGCACTCCACTTACATTTTCCCACTCTGACTTAATTTTTTTAAACCTATTTATATACATTATAAACAACAGAGGTCCCAGAACAGAGCCTTGAGGCACTCCACTAACAACATTACCTCTAACAACAACTAATTTACATGTATGTATATTACCTAAGGCTGATGGTTCTGGGTAGAGTAACTAGAATCTTACTTTGTCAAGGGTAACAATTTGATATTAATATTTGTAAATTAAACTTGAAAAGCAGAAGCATCTCAGCCAGGAAACTTGCGGGAAGCGCCGGCTTACATGTGAGTCACCGTAAGAGGAAGGGGGAAGTAGTGACTGGGAGGGAAGGGGAGGTGTTGACTGGGGAGAGGGGAGGGAGTGGGTGACTGTGGGAGGGAGAGGGGAGGGGAGGGAGTGGGTGACTGTGGGAGAGAGAGGAGGGGGTTGGGTGTTGATGTACAGTGACCTTGAGAACACATCCCAGGGTCGTTCTGTCATTAAACATAGTCGCAACCTACTTGCTACCATACCACCACTATGCACATTGTCAGTATTGGGGGAAACAACGATCAATGACACACACAGCTTTTACAGTCGATTTACAGTCTTTACAGATTTACAGTGCTAGACATTCACCACAAACTTCCACACCCGAGGCGACGTAACTCCCGCAAACCACCACTGGCTTCCGTCACAGCTGGCGCGCACAGCCAAATATTAATCCAATACTAAATGATATATTTACCTTCCGACATGTAACAGCCACGCATTTACATGTTAACTTCTCGCTTCATGCAGGTCGGCGTTCAATCCCCGACCGTCCACAAGTGGTTGGGGGCCACCATTTTTTCCCGCCGTCCCATCTCAAATCCTTATCCTGACTCCTTTCAAGTGCTATATAGTCGCAATGGCTTGGCGCTTTCCCCTGACAGTTCCCTTCCTTTCCAATCTTTCTGCGTTATATATACAAATGCTTAATACAAACAGTAGGTTCTAGACAATTATAAGCAGGTCAGAAAAGATGAAAATGAGGGGATATAATGAGAGTTGAGGTAGCAGCGACTCATTACGAGAGCCTAAGGCCTAACTAAGGCTTAGGACACTATTACAGTTATTGTCAAGTTACTGCGTGGACACCAATCTAGCATATAGCTGAATCATAAATCAATCCCAGATGGCAAGTTGTCCAGGGGGGGGGGGGGGGAATTAAATTAAAACACACACTAGGACGCCTGACAGCTGGGTGCACAGCGCTTCGGATTCGTGGCCCTGAGGTTCAGGGTTCGATCTCCGGTGGACCCCTCTTACCTAGCAGTAAATAGGTACCTGGAAGTTAGACAGCTGCACTCCCAGGCTGCTTCCTGGGAGTGTGTAACAGAAAGGAGGCCTGGTCGAGGACCGGGCCGCGGGGATGCTAAGCCCCGAAATCATCTCAAGATAGGATACTAAGACCACAAGGTAAAAACTCAATACAAATACAATTAAAGAAAAAACATTGTTCAGTTATATGGGAGATTTTCATTGGGAAAATCAAGATTGTGCTACAGAATTCCCAGATCTAGTGAACAAATGAACACTAGTCTTCGATCCCAGATCTAGTCTTTGGGATCTGGGAATTAATGTGTATACCCAAAACCATCATTATTTATAATGATGGTTTTGATTATCCATCTTTGATATATTATCAAAACTTTGATAATATATCAAAGTTCAAAACTGGTCTTGGGAAGCTGTTTGAATAAGCCGATGTTCATGCTCAGGATATTCCAAAGTAAACTTAACTGCCATCAAATTGGGATGGCATGAGGAAGTCTCAAACACTTATCTGAACACTGAGACAAGAGTGGTCCCAGAAAAAGATGCCCGAACTCCTCAAAGAAGAAAACTCATCCCCCTCCCCACCACAACACATATGCAAGCTACATACAACTACACATTTTAAACTTTGTATTACAGTACAGTATATTCACTTTCACTTTAGTTTGCATTACAAATTTAATTAGAAGAATATTTTAAATACAGTATTGTACAAGCTAACAAAAATTTAAGAACTAAAATTAAAACCCACTTTACACCACTCAAACCTTGTGGGATTAAATATTGCTATCTAGACAAGTGTTAAGTTGAAAGTGGTTAAATATTTAAACAAAAAGTAAAAATTTTGTGCCCATGACCAAGAGGCCTGGTTGAGGACCGGGTCATGGGAAAGTTGAGCCCGGAAATCATCGCAAGGTAAGGCATGACTTCATACTAAAAGCTCCATTGACATTACCATCCACCATAATCTGTTATTACACTATACAGAATTTAGTACTGTGTAAGTATAAGTTTAACTGTATAAGTATAGCCTACACTGTCATCAGCATATTTTACACATTACACTTATTCACTATACAGTACAACTGTATTATAATTTTGCTTCACTACATTGAATTACAGTATTTAAACTGAACATTCATTCATAATGAACTTTATGGCCACTATTGTATATCTGTTAGAATTTTTGGGACAAGGCCTGTAGCATATATCCCAACCCTCCTCCCATACAATTTAACCCAAGAAATTATTCAGCGTTATTTTGAAGTCGAGTACTATTCTTGTTTTGACAGTTTGACTGACTACTTCCAGAGGTTCATTACTTTCTAGTGGAGTAATTCTGCACTTGTTGTCTGCCCTGCATGATGAACTAAAAGACCATCATAAAAAATAAAACAGGGGACTGTGTGATAAACGGACACTGTTTAAAGCTAAGAAAACCAATTTACAGGATATTTATATAAGCTAATGCAAAGTAGATGGTCGGGCACCGCTAAACAAAATTGGGAGAGGTAAATGAAACTTTTAGGTGACGGAAGGTAATATTGCCAGTCCATTCCAAGGGGGCAATAAATCTGTCAGTCAACATACGTACATAATGTTTGCCACACTTACCTTTGTAATCTTGTATTCATTGCCTTAGATATTAAATATTGCCAGGCCACCAAAATATGGTATAGTTTTGGTCTAAATTATGTTCAAAACATCCCATCCCTTTAATATTATAGTACTGTACTGTACTTATAGTACTATTATTTGGGCAATAGTACAAATATGCAGTGATAGCCCAACCAAAAATGATCTTTTTGCACTTTTAATTTTATAGTCCCCCCTCCAAAAGAAATGTAAAGCTAAATATAAAACAAACATTCCTAAGCTTATTATAGCACACATGTACTATAGACCTAAGATAGCATGCATTAGGACTAGAATTGCCGAGAGGTTAGGTTTGGTTCTACACCATATTTATGTTGCAATTAAAGTTCCCCCATTTGGCTAAATTCAATGATACAAAACAAACTTTTTTGGTGATCCATCACTGCATATTGGTACTATACTGTAAATACTATAATGTTAGGAGGTTGGGCAGCTTTAGTAATACACATGCACAAAAAAAAAATTGAAAACCTAATCTTTTTCACTTACCTTTATCTTCTTGTACTTCCTTTTAGATGCAGTATTGAGATCCTCGTGCACCTTGTCCAACACAAACATCAAAAACTCGGCAGCATCGTGCTGTTGTGAACCACGATAAATAGATTCGTATTTGTCTACAGTGTTTTTAAAGTTCATGGACAAATCTGGCACATATCTGAGCGTCCAGAGTGCCTTCAGAAGCACTGCTAATTGTTCTGTAATTTCGCCCCTAGTGCCATATTTTTTTGAATTTATTTTGTTACATCTTGCCAGGTCATGTTTATACTGGTCCAAGACAAAGTACTCGGCAAGTACATCAGTATGATTGAGGCACTGAATCACTGCATTAATAAAACAAGTGTTACCATGGTTACGTATTCCCATCACTCCAGGCACCTTACCTTCCTCAAACTCGACATAATCCTCAATTTTGGGACTTTGAAGGTCCGACACAGAAATAGTTTTACTTCGCTCGAGCTTCCCTCTATGATTCCCCACAGGTGCATTAGGGGTGCCCCCTTGCACCTTAAAAGCTACCCGACTAACAAACGAACTCATTCGTGTAAGATACTTTTTCTTTGGTTTTACCGAGGCACTGCTGGAATCACTTCCACCATCCAGGCTCTCAACTCCATTTTCACTGATCATGCTCGTCTGGATTGAAGATGAATCTGTAACACCATTGGGATTCTGGTTTACATCGTTCTTTAGGGGCATTCCATTTTCCTTGTATTTTCCAGGCTTTTTGCTCAGCCTGAAAGACATAAATGGTCGCTTCCTACGAGAGTCTGCATGTCCATTCATTGTTGATGGTTTAGAAAATCTGCAGGGAAGAAAATTAACACTATTAGCTACATTTTCATAAATACTATTATGATATACTGTAATGAACTGCACAGAAAATCAAGACATTTACTTTCTAATTACTGTAACAAAATATTCATTCACTATCACTTATCTCAAACTACACAACACAGGTTATTACAGTAATACAATCTCAAACTAGATTATGTACTGTATGGGGTCCTTCAAAGTATCACATCCATGCTTATACTACTGCACAAAGACCTAATAGGTACAAAACCCATGCACAAATTATTGCAATTTCTCTTATCAAATGCTGATGGCACCACAGGTCATAGCTTTTCTGCCAGAAAATGAATTGTCTGCAAAATACCAAATATATCATACAGTCAGTTTTGTCACAATTACATATTTGAAACATTTAATTCCAACCATCCATTTAGGAAGAAAAAACTGGTTCGTTATGAGCACCCTCAGGAATTTATATACTGTACAGTACTGTACTCTTATTTTTATATTCTGTGCACCACATCTCCATTTAAGAGGTAAAGATATTCAAGCCCTTCTTTAGGGTTAGGAATAATTCAGAAGTATAACAGCTGCACCTAACTGTATGTCAAATACTTCACGTGTCAATCCCAATTTGCAAATTTGTATGAAAAACAGAATGTGAAAATAATTCTCTTTGCTACTGTATTATGAATGACAAATCAATTTTATTTACATACAAGAAGGTACAGTGGGTTGAGAAAGTACATACAATGTGGTTTGAGTGTTATTTCTAGCAAAGCCGCTAACAGGTATAGCGTTTCGGGCAGGTTCTTAAGCCAAGGATTAAATAGCTACTATACATTTGTAACAGAATTCAAGTTCAGCATAATAACTACATTACAAATTGATAGGATATATTATACATATAAAGTTGCATGTCTTAAGTGCTGTATTTTTGGTTCTACTTTTGAACAATATATAGATTGGACAAATTTGTAATTTATTAGGGAGGGAGTTTATTAGGGTTCTTTTATTTGTACGAGTGTTTACATAGATCTAGTCTGGCTATAAATATCAAAGATGTTAATTTCTGGTGCGGTGCTTACGAGTTCTATTACATCAACAATAATAAATTTTTATTCAGGTAAAAGTACATAAACAAAATGAGTTACAAAACAGAATGTTGGATTCTTAGAAAAGTTACTATACTTTGCCTAAAGACACTAATACGCACACTATTTCGGACAAACTACCTATCAAAGAAGTTTTAAAATCGGGATTATAATCAAGGAACAAGGTTTTGAAAGTAAATAGCACAAGAGTGTGTGGAGAGTGAATTTTGGGGGATTTAAACAGAGACTATGTTGACTGAAGACGGTTTGTTATAGTTCCGACAGCAGATTTTTGCTGGGTGATGATGGGCGTTGGGTAGTTTCCAGTGGTTGAACCCCATACACAGACACTGCATATATGCTACATATGGATAGACTAGCAAGTAGTATAGTGTAAGACGAGCAGAGTGGGGGAACATAATATCTGAATTTTGAGAGTATAACAACCGTTTGAGAGACTTTTTGGTTGTGTTTGTGAGGAAGGAAGGAAGCTGGACCTGTCAAGTGAGAGGCTTTCCTGCAAGAAGTTGGCAGGGTGTGCAAGAGGCTGCCATACCTGTCAAGTATGAAGGTTTTCTAGACAGAGAAGCAATTCATGTGTCAAGCATGTATGCTTTCTATGCGAGAAAGCAGCAGCAGCACCTGTCAATCGCTGGCTTTCTAAACGAGAAGTGGGCGTGTACGACCGCAACTTTAGACCTGTCAAGTATGTGGGCTTCCTGCGTGAGCAGGCAAGGGCTGGGGGCTTTCCAGTCGTTTAGTTAGCTCTACCTATCAAATGTTGCGAGTTTATGGGTTAAGAAGTAACCGTACCTGTCAAGTGTGTGGGCTTTCTGCGTGAGGAGGAGGGCTGGGCCGGAGTCGCCGTCAGGCGTGCCAGGGGTGCTCAGAGACCCGTCCCCTCTCGCCAGCTGGGACGCCGACACCGAGCGCGCTACAGGCATCTCTCACTCACCACCCGCGACCTTTTACACAACTTCACAGGTCACCATCAACACACATGGTGACACCCGAGTCACTGGAGGTGTGTGGTGCGCACTACTTCACCCCGCCGCCGCCTGCCTCCCACTACTACTGTTGTGGGCCAAGGCATTGTGGGTAAACAAAGCCTCAGCGGCCTGCGGCACCACACCTTCAACATTTACTAGAGTAATATTAATAATAATAATAATAATATTTTATTTAGAAAAAGTACATACATAGATGCAGTTACAAACATTCTGATTGATTTATAGATAGAGTTAGTACATACAATACCTAAAGCCACTAGTATGCATAGCGTTTCGGGCAAATACCACATCTTCAACATTTAGTACAGTAATAATAAGAATATTAATAATAATAATAATATTTTATTTAGGAAAAGTACATACATAGATGCAGTTAGTAACATTCTGATTGATTTATAGATAGAGCTAGTACATACAATACCTAAAGCCACTAGTATGCATAGCGTTTCGAGCAAGTAAAGTAACACACCTTCAAGATTTAGTAAAGTAATAATACTAATAATATTTTATTTAGGAAAAGTATATACATAGATGCAGTTACAAACATTCTGATTTATAGATAGAGCTAGTACATACAATACCTTAAGCCAAAGCGCAAAGCGTTTCGGGCAAGTAAAGTAAATTTTATTCAGGAAAGTACATACATAGTTGTTTTACAAACATAATGTTGGATTTATAGATAGAGCTAGTACATACCTAAATAAAGGTATGTACTAGCTCTAAAACTAGTACCTAAAAATACCTAAAGCCACTAGTACGCATAGCGTTTCGGGCATTTATATTTAGATTTAGATTCGCGCCCAGTAAATCCTCCCCGGCTAGATCGAACCCAGGACAAAGCACTCCCGAAACACCAGGCGAGTGTCTTACCACTACACCACGGGGACTGCTAAAATTATCTTACAAAGTTCCTTATAATGAGTGTTTTTTTTATCCAAAGCCTCTACTGCTCTCACCAGATCTTCTAAGTCACTATTCTCAACTCTGTCTGCATTCAGAGTATTTTCTCTTTCCCTAGTTCCCTGCCACACTTGTGAAACACCGCTGGCTCTAGCTTAGTTCAAGTTCAAGTATGTTTATTGAGACAATAAACTACATCTCAAAGAGATAGAGTAGCTTAGGCTATTTCTACCCTCTACTTCAAGTCCGTCAAGGGGCGCACAAATCCAGTGAGTACAAATCCACAAATCACAGTACAAGAATCCAATTTAACATTATAGGTTAATGTAGTAAGCACAGCATTTAACTGTTACACGCTTGACATTTTAACATAGTTTAGTTAGCCAATGTCAACTGCTAACTAAAGAAAATGGTAACGGTAATGGGGTCATAAGCGAGCGTCAGTCGCTCTCACCACAACAACTGTGGCCGGAGCACCCTGTGGGTGCCCTTAAATCAACAACAACACTCTTGTGGGTGCCCTTAAATCAACAATAACAACACTCTTGTGCAGTCACACGAAGGGAAGACCTTTATGTAAGCTGCAGGTATCGTAAACCCGAAGAAAGAGCACAGAAATAGCGGAGAAAACACCGTCCTGCATTTCAACCCTCAAAGCCACCGATTTCCACCGAGCAAATTTCATTTGTTACAATGGCATGGGCTTGTCACAACATTGGTCTTAATTGTATTTATAAACGTACAATACGTACCATTCCCCGTGGCATTAGCATTCTCCATGCACCAAACTCAATTGCGTATCTCCAAAACTTACCGAGAAACGTGAGCTATAGAAGTGAAGATAAAACGTTACTTTCTGGGTTGAGCACCTGTGGCAGGAATGGGAGTGTGGTGGGCAGCCTCCACCACAGGTGTGGGGTGCCAGGCTGCCCTCTGCTGCCGTCTACAAGCCTATTGGCTGCCACCCTCCCCTGCCTCCACACAGTCACCAGGAGCAAGTCAAAAGGGTCATCTTACAACAGAAACAAGACTATGAAGGGCAAAGGTGAAGAGGAGGTAAGGTGACATTTTGTGACATATTACATCATTGCCAGAAAGAGTGTATAAATAAGCTACAATATATAGTTTGACGCACCAATTTATTACAGTATTTAAAAAGTTTTTAGCTGAAATTTCAATGCTGTGAATATTAATAATTCATAGTAATTAATTGTGTCAGGGGACAGGCAGCCAGAACATATACATAGAGTACATGTTAGGCTTATATTGAGGTTCATTTGTAATTAATTGTGTTACCACTGGGTTATTTTGAGATCATTTCGGGGCTTAGCGTCCACGCGGCCCGGTCCTCGACCAGGCCTCCTTTTTGTTACACACCCCCAGGAAGCAGCCCGTAGCAGCTGTCTAACTTCCAGGTACCTATTTACTGCTAGTTGACAGGGGCATCAGGGTGAAAAAAAAACATTTTGTCCATTTGTCTTTGCCTCCGTCAAGGGATGGAACCCAGAACCTCAGGACTACGAAACCAAATCGCTGTCCACTCAGGTGTCAGGCACCTCTAATTTAAACCCTATCTAAACCCTAATAAAATTCAGGATAGCTAATTTTCTTCAAGAAGTTGCTTGTTTTGTTGTGGCCTATGCTTTCTGATGGGTTTTCCCTGGTTTTGGCTCAATTTCCTATCTCTAGGCTTTTCTCACCTTATAGAGGGAGAGCCAAATTCTGGTCTAGGCTCCTGGTATGAGAGGTGAGCTTCAGAGGCCTGGTACATCTTCCTAACACACAGCAGTACTGTACTGTACTAGTGTTTACCTGGGGGTGGGGGGGGGGGTGCAGACAACCAGAATAGGCCATTTCATTATGCAACACTTTTTTATTATATATTTATAACGTTGAAAATTCTTCACTATGGCATAAATTTCTCCAGTTATATTTGTTATACTACTAGTACTTATATATATTATTTTTATTTTTTTAGTGTTCTTCATGAATTACTTTAAATGTTTTATTTCATATTTATAAGGGCTAGTACTAAATTTTATATCAATAGTTTTCAGATGAAGATGTGGATGATGATGAAATGATATTAGAGTCGGGATCAGATTTCCGTGACATAAAGGCTAAGATACCTTCACTGCGGATGGATGCAATTTTGAAGGCAGGGCTTGGCATGTCTCGAAAGTAAGTCTTAGAATGATTATATCTAAATTGTCATATTGACAGATACAGCAACATTGTTCTTATCCGAGTTGTCACATTTGGTTGTTCCCCAAGTTAAGAATTTGCCATCATAGACCAGATTCATATAGTCAGGCAGGACAGCATTCAGGCAGTAGTGCTGCAGGGGAGCTTTTTAAATGTCCCTGTAGGGTCCTACTGTATATAGTTCTAGGGAGGCACCGGAGAAAAACTTAATTCAGTCCAAGAGTAACATTCAACAGTACTGTACATCTTGGAGAAGAAAGACTCCAAGTCCTACCAAATTATCACTCTACATCACATGTGATCACCACATTAAGCTTCAAAGTTCTCGTCTTCCTGCTTAATCCATACTAGCCACTTAACCAGCAGGTTGCAGCACCATTACTAACCCAGGGTTCTTGGATCCAGTCACATCACATTTTATAATTGTGTACATACATGAATATTTAGTAAATATTTAGTGAATACTTAGTTGTATATAATTTAAAAATATTGTACTGTAAAACAATGTTTTCTCATGAGCCATGAATGCATCTAATGTGTCCCCTAATTCTCTGGGTTTTTAATCTCTCTTCACAAGGGAAGTTTCTAATGCTTAGTGATTAACTTTGTCATTCTTCTCTGTACCCTTTCAAGTAAATTCATGTTCATTCTATAATATGGAGACCAAGGCTGAACTGCATAATCTAAATGGAATCTAGCAAAGACAAGCAAGACAGTGCTGAAGAATAATATTTGATGCCATATTGCTAACTTTTCTGGAAATACATCCCAGAATCCTATTTGCTTTATTTCATACATTTTTACCTTAAGATCCCTACTAATCATTAATGTGATCATTGTCGTATTCATTCACAATTTCAACATTGTCCAGATTATATCTGGTAACTCTTATTGTTACTTCAGCTCAGAACCTCACATTTTCAGCATTAAACTGCAATTGTCAATATTTTGTCCATTTTGAAAGCTTATCTAGAAAGCTCATCTTGTAGAAATTGTGTGTCTTCTGAATTTATTTCCCTGTCTATTTTTGTATCATTTGCAAATTTACAAATGTTGCTGCTCAAATCATTTGTATACTGTACAGTATATGATAAACAACAGAGTCCTGCAGCACTCCACTTACAAGTTGTAACAGTTTCCCACTCGGACTTCATGTATGCTAACTCTGCTTTCTTTGATATTTCAAAGAAAGCAGAGTTAAAAAGCAGAGAAACCAAGCCCTAATCCCAGTTAGGACATCCCCCCTCCCAATACCACTTGGCTTCTTAAAACCTGGCACCACATTTGCATCCCTCTATGACTCCAGTACTGTGGTTGACTCTAATGATATATTAAATATGCAAAAGAAGGGCTCACAAAGTGTTTCCTTATATGCTTTAAACACCCTTGAAAAATACCATTTAGTCCCTGTTTGGTTTAAATTTTTCTACTCGATATCTTTTCTCTGGTAACCGCTAGTCAACGTGTCCTCTTTACTGCATACATAGGTTTGTTCAGCTGCAGATATCATACTGGTATCAAGATCTTCTCTAGTAAATACAGACACAAAATACTAATTTAAATACTTCTCAACTCTCTGTCAGTTTTTGATATACAGTACTGTATCTCAAAAAAAAACTTTTAGGATTTGTCTATGCCTGCTCTGCCCTGCTATATGTACCTGTACTTCATAGATTCTTTTTGTTTATTTCAGCAAAATGGAAGGAACATTTTATAGTAGTAAAATTCGTGTCAATGGAGAGAAAATATTAAAAAAAAGCAAGCAGGTAAGTGTATTATTTCTGCAGTATGCTGATTGTCACATTTTACCATATCTTTTGATATACAGGCCACCCGCTGCTCTGTGAACATTTGCTTTATGAACATTTATAAGCTTTATGAAACACTGGTCCATTATCAACGTGTGTTGATAGTGCATCAGTGCTAAGGAAAAGGCGACCCATTACCTAAGAGACGAAATTAGATATTATCAAATAATTTTTATATACATTTTTTATAACTATAAATATATAAATATTTGTTATAATTATAATTTTCACCTCTTGAGAGGGGTGAAAAAATTGAGAGTGAAAACACGTAAGGGAATGAATCGCTCAACAAGTGCTACCATCTTGAAATACAAAACACATTTAATCTGCGATATGGGGAAGTATTGTTATACATTATTTTGGCATTTTCCTCAAGGAGTTCTGACATTTAAAAGTCAATAAGGCACAGGGAAAAAGCTTGGGATGAAGTTAGGGACTAACATAAATAGTGTTTGGAAAAATGTTTGTCCTCAATTTGTGAATAACTTATAGGATTTTGAGGAATTAGTTGCAGGCACTGATTGAAAACATTGTTGAAACTGCAAAGGATCTGCATTTGTTCAACCATTTGTTTGTTTTGGGGCCGGATTCTAGTCCTGCCTTCTGAAAGGCACTCAATTCAATAGTCTGGTGTGTGGTAGCTGGGTTTGGAGGACTCCAGGTGGGTAGATACAGAGGGAACCCACCAGGAAGAGGCATTTCATTACACTCAACACTGGATTGTTAAATTACACAATAGTATGCCTTTTATTTGTTATGAAATATGCTTATATAATTGTATTACTATTATAAATTCAAATGAAATATCTTGGCCAAGGGTTAATGTTATTCCCAGTCTGGAAAGTGATGATTTAATTGCTCTGTATATAGTGGATATTATTTCTTTTGTGTATTTGTTACTGAACAAAGAGTCTGGTAAACTATTTTTTTTAATGGAAATTATTTTGTTCTGCAGTTGCTTGAAGGGGACGAAATTGATGTAATTAAAGGACCATGTGATCAAAATCCAGATTTGTTGAACATTTCACGTGTTGTCATTCTAAAGGTAGGCAACTTCGATGAGGATTCTGATAAAGTGATGGTTAAGCTTCGTAAATATCCACAGTTATTGATTGAAAAGTACAGCGATTATAAATGTGAAGATAACTTGTCATAAACAATGTTGAATTTATTAGTTAATAATACCTTCAGCAGTGTGCTGTTAATATACATGCCTGCCAGGAATTAGAAATTTATTGGAGGTTTTGAATACAAGTCAGGAAATGTGTACGAAATAATACTTTTCAGAGTAATTTTTTAATACGATATTGTAAGTATTATTTAATCTTGAAATACAGGATTATACAAAATGATTTCATTGTTTCATAACCAAATTTGTAAAAATTAAATGTATTTGTTTATGGTTTAAATATACTGTACTGTATAATAAATGTTATTTACCATAATGTACTTTTAATTTAGATAATTTCATTATCCATAGCTAAAAGCTTTTGCAAGATTTTAAAAACAGCCCACAAGTAAACTGGGCTGTGGTTAAGTCCAATTAGGTATTTGAATTTGTTAAACTTCGCAACATTAGGAAGTTTTTAAATTTATATAATGAACTCTCAGACAAAAGCACTTTTGCTCATCATGTCTTGATTTGCTTACCTTCAACTTTTAACTAAAATGTTGACCAAACTACACACTAGAAAGTGAAGGGACAACGACGTTTTGATCCGTCCTGGACCATTCTCAAGTCGATTTTAACTAAAATATTACATAGTCTCCCCAGCTTTGTACCTTCTTTTGATAATTAATTACAGTACTTATCATCATGATGCTGGCATATTTATCTTAGTTAAAAGTACATTTGCCTAAGTATTTCATTGCCATTCATATAGGAAATTAAAATAGTGGCACTGATTCTACTACTCACAATTTATACTACTATTCAATATATTATCTAGATTTGCCGTGTCTATGCAAGTACATATGTACATTACACTAGTACAGCTGATGAAACTTGTGTAACATAGTTGCTAAGTTGATGCCTTGACAAAGACTTGAGCACGTGCTCCAGAATTTAGGGGATACAATGGATTGGCCATTATGTATGATATGCCAAGAAAATAGATGCCTTGCGTTCATTGAATTCACTTCTTGTTGATAAAAAAAATCAATCCAATAGGCACTTATCCTGTTATGATAAACTTTGCCAGAAAGGCTTTCTGGCAAAGTGGGATGCATTACATGAAAAGTTTGCATGAAAATGCCATGTAGGTGTGAAAGTTGCACAAATTGGTAAAATAATGAAAGGAGCTGCTGTGTAGGATGAGGAAAAAGCCAAAAAAGAAAAAAGTTGATAAAATAAAAGGGTTTTTGTGTATAAAAAATTAACAAAAAATAAGCAAGAAAATGGGATATGTGAATAAAAGATATGAACAGTAACAGCTTTCAGCCAATTTGAAAAGCATCTTTTTTTGACCAGAATCATTTGGTTGCTCCTCAATATAGGAATTCATTGTCATGTATTGAATTCATGGCCAGTCGGGCAGGACAACATTCAGACACCATCGCCACAGTCATCTTTTCAACTTTTCAACTTCATTACAGAGTCATAAGCTGCTTGGTAACTCTGGAAAAAAACAGAGTTTATTCCAGAATGACTGTTAAAGGCACATCGATATACTCAAACTATACCAACTGAAAGCTCAAACTACTCTTTTGAGAAACCAGCTACTACCTTGTGAAACCAGCCTCCCAAACCCAGTTTTGCCACATTTTTCTTAATGTGAAAAAATATTCTGCACACACAGGTGAATAAGAGATGATAGACTGGATGAGAACCAACTAAATGCGTTACTCAGAAAAGTGTTTTCACATTCACTCGGAATTATTCCTCAGGAATCACATTTGGTTGATTCCTCGGGGTAAACCTTGATAACAGACACCATAACCAAGATAAAACAATTTAGTAAGAAATGAATAGGGGATGGTACTCACCTGTGAAGTAAAGTGGAGTCAAAGAAAGTAGGCTGTAAGTCTACAACCTGGCAGTGTGGGGCAAGACAATACTGCATACTCAAGAGAATATAATACACAATACACAGGAATATAATTTCTGTGTACACCACAGGAATTATTTAGGCTCCATGGGAGAATGGGCTAATATCAATAAATAATGAACAAGTTAATGCCTTAGGTTTGGAATATCCTTCTGAGACAGTTGATAAATAAAGCATTTATTGTAAAGAAATGTTCTCTCTTAGTGGGCCTCCATACCTCCCAGTAACCTACTGTCAATAGCACCAGGGAGGCCTAGTCACCGACCGGGCCATGGGGTCGCTAAGCCCTGAAATCATCTCATCTCAAGGTTGGCAGAGGAATATGATTTTCTTGAAAGATCAGCACAGTTGGCTCGCAAGTGAAGGGTCCTGGGTTCGAGTTTTGCACAGGATGGAGATACAATATTTGGGAATTTCTCCTTTCGCCCGATGCATCCACTTGCTTAGGAACACAACCCGTACTCATAAATAGGTACTAAAGAGTTAGGATACAACCCACAACGGTAGCATGAGGAAAGTCAGGGAAGACGTAGGGAAACCCCAATAAGCCTAAAAGGCTTCCTGTCCTTGACAATGGAAAACAATAGCAACAAAAAAGATGAGAGGGCTTACTGATGAGAGACGACGGCAGGAGAACAGCCTGGAGCAGAGGCACATCAGCGGCATGTCAAACACCCCACAGCCACTAAGTACTGTAGTCTGAAGATGGATTGCCAAAACCCTCAAGCCAAGAAAAAAAAAGACACAGGAAAGTGTCTTTTTTTTTAGGAAATTAAAAATCACAGCCAAATTGTTGAAAGGCCTCAAACATCATGGATAAGCAAAATGATAGCTTGAAGGCAACGAGAACCAATCACTGGTAAAAGATGGGAGAGCCATCTGCGGACCTAGTCTTGAATTCCATTAAGCCTCTACTTTCATTTCGACTGCTGTGTCCACTTCTCACCAAGGATCCTCCAATTCTCCACTTTTAACTTGCTTTCTTCATGCACTCACTCTGCCCTCTGCTGCTGTGAGTGTTGCAAGAGAATTTGGGGAAGGCACAAGTTCTGTATCTAATATTATAAAAAAAAAGAGAAATACAGTACAGTCCATGTAATGCAAGCACTTATACAGTAATTCTGGGATTAGGTCAAATAAACGCATAGAATTCAAGTCCTTCAGTGATAAGGCAGCTGGTAACTCCACCAAGTTGAAATTTCTGTTATTGTTATTCTATTTTATTTATTTCTGTGAAGAGCCTGTCATAGCAATGTAAATTAATTTTTTTTATATGTAGAAATACAAATTTACAGTGCTATGCAAGTTGGGTCTGGTAAAAAAAAGTTAACTGGTCATTATTTTGACATACTGTATCGTAAAGAAAGTTGGGCAATTCGAATCCCTGCATGATTTGGATCGATGTCCACCCTATGTGATCCAAATTATTGAGTTGAAACAGTACCATTATAATACTGTACTGTAGTTAATCAGGAATGCCAAGATAGACAGCTGTGCCTCTGAGGTCTTTGATTTGACAATCACCTTCAACATTTTAGTGGTCGTTTGTGCCGAGAGTGACCACCTCCCACAGGATGTCTGTTGATGAAGGGACTCCAGTACAGTTTTGGCAGACCTAGAGAGAAAGGGCACACCAGGGCCAGACAAGGGGTTGCCTTGTGGGAGGAGGCAGTAGTCGGCGATTGAAGCAGCACATGACAGGTGTAACAACAGTAAATAATTTATACTGTGAACTGTCGGGCTGTGATAACCCACAACGATACCACAGTACAACAGTAACAGGATTACTGTAACTGTGGTATTGTAGCAGTTGGTGGAATACTGCACTAACAGTGAGTTTAAGTACTGATTAGTTGCCATGAAATTTGATAATCCACAATAGTAGTGCACACAGTACTGCAAATAATTATACTGTGACTTCTGCAACTATGGTAAAGTGATGAACTACGAGGGTAACTTTAAGAGGTAGAGTAAACACCAATAAAAAATGGTAATTACGGTAACTACTGTTTACGTGGTGGCTAATTTCAAGTGCACTAATTTTAATTACTTTAAGTGGCATTATATTTTCCTCTTAACTGAAGATTATGATGGGAACCTTACTTTTTCCAAAACAAAGGTAACATATGAATTTTGTGGGTGATAAATATATTGAAAGGCCCAAACACCTAATCCATGATTTGACTGTTAGTGTCTTACTATATTTCTTATAATTCAAGCCACAATAATGACAAAGGATTTAATAATTAAAACATATGGTGTTTGTATAACTGCATATTATGGGACCCTAGGAGACCACGCTTAACAAGGCACTTTTTTAACAATATATATAACAAAAGAATTATTAATATAAAACCATTCTACTTTAAGGAAATAAATATATATTATGGAATCAACTACTGTAACAAAGAACAATTGAAATAAAAATTTAAGAACGAATATACAATGGAGTTTCGAGAACGCTAAAACAGAAGACTGCTCCTCATGGTTTTAAATTAATCTACCATATTGCCATGTGCTCAAAATGCTGATAAGAAAGAACAAATCCACACGGGCCGTGACGAGGGTTCGAACCTACGTCCGAGGGGATCCCAGATGCTGCACTAATCAACTGCCCTTGTGGATTTGTTCATTTGATGCATCACGCTATTGTGATTTCTGTGTGTGCCGATAAGCAAGGTTCGTCAACACAAGTCACTCAAGCCAATAAGGTCAATATGCTCAAAGCATCTGATCACAATTTTATAGAAAATTTTGAGCAAGTGCAAAATAAAAATTTTGATCCAAACATTTGTAATGAAGCATTAAGAACCACACTATGCTCATCTATTTCAAATCTATTTTAAGCTTACTCTGGGTAAATACTCAGCATTTTGGAAAGGAATCTTCATTAATTAAATGCTTTGAAAATTCTCTGTTATGATGATTATGAATACTATTAAATGTGCAAAAATAATCATTATCAAACTTCCAAAGAATTACATATAAAGAGCATTAGACTAGAAGTTTTACTTAATCCAATATATGAAGTGGAATGTAGACAAAAATAAATCACCTCTTAACACATGCATGGTGTAACATACAAATTATTAAACAAATGTATCTTCAAACCAATTTTAGTTTATAGAAGCACTCAAAATGCTTTGGCAAGAATCAGTATGTGTCACACAGTTTGAATGTAGATAACAGAGCACACTTTATGGATAAATGTTTGAAAGTACAGTTCATCCTAAAACATATAAAAAACTAAGTACATAAAACAATTCTGCAATAAATTAGGATGGATACTAATTTATATTCAATGGTATATCATATTGTTTGAAAAGGTACTGTAATTATGTTTGCATAGATTTGAAAGAAAATTCTAATAAAATTTCCACTGAAAACTGATTATTAAGAAGCTATTTTCCAGAATGTTGATCATCTTGTGTAACAAATATTACACTATATAATATGTACAGATTTGTATGCTATCAAATGGGTTAAAAATGTGATAAATATGAACTTTGTATGATCTACATAATCAAGATTCTAGATACTCAAGCTCTTTAAAAAGCAGTTAGTTCTGTATTAAATTCCATTTAGTATAAATAAATATAAACTTTGGCACCATTAGCTCCTAAAGAGGGATGAAAGAAGTGCCGAGACCTCTTCTTGAGATGGACAAGCTATTATTATTCTGTCCTCCTCACTGTAATTGTTTACTAGTATATTCTGCACCTTAGAGAAGGAGGCAAGGATATTTGAACGCACAGGCTTGAAAAGGATGAATTCAGTATCACGGTTTGCCAAATAAAGCTGCATACTGCGTTGAATGTTGGGCAGGTGAGTGCGAATATTCTTTTGACAGCTACTTATTACATCTGCTACCTGTAAATGCAGTAACATTATCAAGCGGAATATTTGTTGTATATTGTTTACATTTTAAGAAATTTATGTCATGCTTTTACAACAAGTATTACCAGTATAATTAAACCAGAACCAGAATCAGGACCCCTTAAAGGAGAGAGGAGCACGTTAAGACTGGGACTAAAAGAGCCGAAGCTTAACCCCCATCAAGCACAATTAGGCAAGTACCACCAAAGTGAACACACACAAAGTCAAAGGCATTAAAAACACACTACAGTGGCGCCTTGATTAACGAGTTTAATCCATTCCGGCACCGAGCTTGTCATGTGGAAAACTCGTCTTGTGAAACAACAACAAAACTGTCGTCGGAAGTGTCCGAGAACCAGCGGGAACGCTCGTGAATAGAGGGAAAGCTCGTCAGTCGAGACATTTTCTGCGAGTGGCTTGCTCGTTACTCAAAATGCTCGTAACTGGAGCTGCTCGTCACTCGAGGTTCCACTGTACTTGTTTAGGGTTTAGCTCTAATCCCAATTTTCCCCCCATGTCTTACTGAGTGAACCAGATTTTGATCCTTGTAGGCCTGTTTAAGCCTTAAGAGGTCCAGTTTAACCTGAAGGCTTGGCTGTACAAGCTCTTATGTTACAAGGAGCTACTGGGAAGAGCTAACCCAGAAAATATGCGTAACAAGCCACAGATATTTCTATTGATGAAACCCAATTCTGATGACATGAACATCTTGGTAAGAAAATTTTGGTATAAATGAGAAGACAAAAAAATAATCTTACTTTCTCAGGTACAGCAAATGGTTGATTCTTGATTATAATAGGTTTGACATTCTCTTCTTGGTTCATCTGCAATATGACTTCAGTCTTTGTCAAAAACAGGGTCAGTGGACTAGACAAGGTTTCAGTGCATGTAAATATTAGCAGTTCGCACAATTTTTTCAGTCGATTATCTAGATCTCTCTTTGAATCCAGCCTTTGCTCCGTCACCTGTAATGTGTATATTATTTAATCATCAGGACAGGAATGTGCTGCTGATATGGAACAGTGAACATGAGAATCCTAATATTTAGCATATTTATACTTGTAATTTTTTTTCTTATGAAGGTTTAATCATGAATACTATGATATAAAAACTATCTAGTATGAATACTATAAACTATAGTATGAATACTATAAAAACACTACCTGTGGAGTGCCTTCTACTATGAACTCCAGAAGAGCATTGTTGGAGGACAGTGAAAAAAGTCGACCTCTCTTCTGCACTAGTCCAAGTGCTGCATTACGAACCTTACTCCAGTCTAGACTTGTCTCGTGTAAGCATGCATCAACCTGTGAAACAATCACAAAACGCAAAGATTTAGCATAACCTTTCAGAGTTAAAAAAACAGATTTACACCAAAACTAAAATCATGTCAATAGCATATGCAATTCTTACTGAAACTAGACCAAAATCTTTTCTCTCACCTACAAATTGTTTTGGGGCAAATTAGTCTTTGGTTCTAAACACCTTATGAATTGCTCTCTTCTCTAAGCTTTTGTGCATCATATAAAAAAATTAAGTTATTTGAATCAGCAGCCCTTGAACACCCAGAACCTACTGTTACACTGGAATCATTTTCTCAATTTATGTTTGATAACACCAACATCAACATTGATACAATAGATGGAACCAACACTTTTCATTCATTGGGTGGAATATAGTGTATTACTCCATTTACTTTAGTATTTTCAGCTGGGGAAATTAACAAATTAAAAAGTATTCCCAGTGCGAAGGTTGTTGGAAAATTGGGTGTCGTGTTTCTGTAGTTTCTTTTCAGAAATCTAAAAATCTCAGGATTACCTAAAATTCAAATACAACACCTTTGTACAACACATCCTTGTTTAAGGCAAGTGGAGCTGCTGTCAACAGATTATATGTGGCTTTATAGTGCAGGAATTACACTAAACTGTAACACTGCATTTGGTGTAGCTGGAAACAGCGCTGTTATAAATATGCGCTGACTGAACATTCCAAGTTAGATTAAGCTCCTGTCTCTCCACTCTCTAGGCCCTTCTTCTCAGAAACCATTAACCTACATAGAACATGGTAAGAACAACTTTTGTAGATAATTACATTTCCTTAAAAAAAAATAAAGTATTTGTTACTTATTAAACTAAAACCAACAGGAAATGAGATATTTGACAAAAACACATTTTCGGTGCCATTTTTTCAAGACGGTGGCTAAAGTTCGCTTTTCTCAAGGGAGAAAACTTAGCATCTAATAAGGACTTGTATAATAAATACAGCCTCCAGTTCTCTGGGAATTTCTTCCAAATTCACATGCTAAATGTGACTGCAAGATTCATCTGTAAGTCTGGCACTCTAGGTGATTAGCTAAAGCAGATCTATTTGATATAGCATCCCATTTGATTGGAGCATCATGAAACATGTGCTTATTTCAAGCAAGCAAACCTGTATATTAAAACATGCACAAATATGCATATACAGCTTTCTTATACAGTATTTGCAAATATAAACAAACTTAGAAATATTATTTCTTCAGCATATAATGGTGAACAATCTAATGATCATTTAGTCTAATAATAACAATCTAATAATCTAATCTAATAACACTCTAATAATCATTTAAATATTTAAGATTACATTTTAATATGAGAGCACATATGAACAAACCTGAAATGGTGCCATCTGTTCCCGAAGAATGAGGAGGTGTTTGATCTCAAAAAGCTGTGCATCTAGTGGAGAAGAATGTTTACTGATGGATGCAGAGGCCAGACTCAGGCTCTGCATGCATGCTGCTAGTGCATCCAGTGACATTCCCTGTTGCATTGATGGAAATAAAGAATTACAGTATATATTAGAATGCGAGCCATTATTCACCGTTTGCTACATTTAATAAATCATTTAACAGTGGGCTCTGCAAACTTTGGACCGCTATTTAAATGGTTTCCTCTAAACGATAAACTAATTCTGTTAACGGCTCACCACCCTACCCAAAATTTGACTTTTCAGAGTTCAGATACAGATTTTTGATCTGTGTGAAATCCTGATCCTGAGTAATAATTTCCAGCAGATCATGTTTTTTTTTTTTTTGTTTTTGCAATTGTTGGGCTTTTAATTATAAATATATGAAATAATGCACAATATTATTTCTTTAGAAATGCTTTACTATGCTTGTCCTGTACTATAAATTGTACAGATAAGTTAGTTTGCGTAAATTTTTTTGTCTGTTACAGTCGTAGAACTACTGAGTGTATGTACGCATACCAGGCATGTGGTTGCCATGTGTGAATGCGGTGTGACTTATCATTACTCAAGCATTTCCACTTACTTTTCTTAGACTGTATCATGATTTATGAGTTGAAACTATACCACATGGCAAGAGTGGTGGTAAAAGTGCATTAGGATAGGGTAAAAGGAACTTCGTTAACCTAGATAAGAAGGCAGAATTATTGTAGAAACCAGACCATGGCTTGGGAGTCCAGCAGCTGATAGAGTATACCACAGGTGTTTATACAGTTTCTCATATAAAAAACATAGGAAGGAGATCATGTCAGTAAAAGGGAGGGCAGGTATGGTAATAATAGTGACCAGAAAACATCGAATCCTCTCAGGATGAGAATTTAGATGAAGCTGTTTACCAGCAGTTAACACAGCATTGTATCATGGGCAATGAGGACTGTAAGACCTGTGGATGATAAAAGTGCTGTTACAATGTACAATAATGTGAAAAGGCTCGTCATCTGTGCAATATTATGCATACAAGCACTCCCCAACTTATGAATGGAATGTGTTTATAAATCATGCACACTATTATTACATAATTCACCTATAACATGCTCACCTGTCCTCTCCCACAAATAAATGTATAAATAAATAAATACTGTAAAACAATTCGACTCCCTCCTTGCCAACTCTCACAAATACACACCCACTATGAACAAATCCACAAGGGCCGTGACGAGAATTCGAACCTGCGTCCGGGAGCATCCCAGACACTGCCTTAATCGACTGAGCTCTCTGAACTCGACTGTGATAGTGGGTGTTACACCCACTATCTCACCCACTAACATATCATACAGTATAAACTTCGTACAAAACTTTAATGAGGAAAGTAGAGGAGCAAATTCAACATATGTACAGTACTACAAGGCCACAGGACTAACAACACTGCAAACCTGAGACGTGACTGGGTGCATCTCATCGAAACTTGTATAATACTGCACTGAATAATTTGAAGGATGTTGATACAGAAAACTTATTCAAAAGGTCAGATGTAACAAAGCAGGAGCAACAGTTTTGGAGCAACTACAAATCACAATGTAGGACAGAAAACAGGAGATGCTTTTTCACTCACAGGATGAGGTTCTTTATGTCCTGCCAAATATAATGAATAAAAAACAAAAAATAGGAAATTAATATTTAGTTGCCACTGAACACCTACTTTCAAGGTTACTCTGAAAAAGAAACAGTATTCATCATAATAAGTTACCCTGATAATACTACTTATAATTAAAAAACAAACGAGCTTGATTATGATGCAAATCATGCAACCTTAAGAGCAACTTGTGTGCTACTGTAAGTGTTAACAGAATTTTCTTTTGTTACCTGAAATATACTTCTATCAACACATCGATAGAGCTTAAATAAACACATAAGAGTGCGCCGGACAGTTGGATACCACATGCCATGTAAATCTGCTGGTGATGTGCCCACACGAGAAAACCTTTCCTCTGCTGCCCTCGTGATATTAGCAACTTCTTCACTGGTAGCAGATCTGAAAAAAAAAAAATGGGTTTAATTCCACTCACACTGCATGTTTATTGCCAAGTATTCCATTTGGCTTTGGAAGTATGTCAAGGTTTCTACCCTGGCAGTTTACTTCTCAATTTCACCTGCATGCTGTCAGATGGCTATGCACCTAGCTTGTCAATCCCACAACTTGACAGCCTCAGTCATTTTGTTAGGAAGACAAAAAATCTGAAGCCCCCCTTCAAAAGGAAAGGGAAGAGAGGGTCCAAAGAGCCACCATAGACCTACCAGAAAGAGATCTTTCATTTAATACTGGTTTTCTGGAAGGGCTGCTATGGTGGTACCTTGTTGCTGTCACCATGAAGAACAAAAGAAAACGGGTAGAAGGGCAATAAAACAACCCATGTAAAAGGGGAAGGTAGGAATGAAAACTACCCCAAAACCACCTAAGTCTAGTGCAAACCAGGAACATTCACAGAGTAATGACCCAGAAGCACTTTAAGGGACTACCAAAACCCACACACCAGAAAATGTACCCAAGACATTCGTAAACACTGCAGATAGCTTCCCAAAACTACCTCACTGAGATAGCCCCTAACTACCTGATCGCATCAGCTGTAGAGCTCAGTACCCCCTACCGAGGACCAGAGCCAGAACTGTATAAATTAAATCTGCATCAACTAATCATCAATGAATTATAATTAAGCACTCTCATATACAGTATAAAGATAATGCAAGCTAAATATTTACTTTAAAATATCAACAAATATAAATTAGCCTACTTGAAAACAAAAACTTAAGACCTTTAAATTTACAAAACACTCCTCCTTTACTGAATTCTGTTGTGGCAAGAAATTTGCTTTTCAATGTGACTTGGACATACAGTGTTCCTCTCACCTACCAAGATCAGTGTCCAGTTCTGCATCAATGAGTGCCACTATATCGGTACATTACCTTGTTTCGTCCATGACAATGCTTCAAAATTCTCTGCACAAAGGAAATGTGTACACTGGAGTTATTTTACATCATTGCTCCAATGTGCTCTCCTGGTGAGTTTTGCATTTACTGTTGAATGTATCAATGATGATGGTTATCTATGTGGATTGCTCACACCATTAGCTCTCTGGTATGCACTTGATGTTTTAGGTTACTTCTTGACAGTTTTCCAGGATCAGAATAATAATATTAACAATTATCTTCCGCCATCTCAATGATATAAAGGTTTATACTGAACATCGGAAATAAAGCATAGTTTTCTGGAAAATCACATCCTAAGCTATGATTATGTGTATGCGATGCCATCTGATGGAAATCAAGAGTAATTAGAATTCTAGAGGGTATTACAGATTGGACTGAGAATTCCCCACTATTGTCAATAAAATAGTATGACCTTACAGGAAAATTTTAGATGATCCCTGTTATGCTAGTGATGTATGTCAGCCCTTCCTGACTACATTATCCTGTCCATGGGACTAATAGATCCTTATATAAAGAAGCCAATACATCTGAAAGTAAATTACTTGGCAATATAGTCTAGCTAAGAAATACTGTACAAGGCAAAATGAATAATTATACAAAAATGGTAATACAGTACTTACTTTATGGAAGACATGGAAGAAACAGAAGCATTGCGAGAATGATTTTTCCTCTGAATTGCTATACTCTCAGCAATGTTTTCCATCATTTGAAGCTTATTAGGATATGCAAGATCTCCTGGTGATGGACGGTAGTTGGCAATATCTGTATTAACATAGATGTGAGCACGATAAACCAAGCGCTCTTGTGCATCTTCTAGCATCTGGTTAACGACTGAAGTGAGAGGAGCTAGTTGTGTTGGATTGTTCTGCAAGTGCTCCTCTATCATCCTGCAAAACATACAATTTTGAAACATATTGGCTAGAAATTTCACCCTCTCTCCAATGTCAGCATTATCTTGATCACATGACCCTCTTTACGTGCTCAAAACATGGACAGATACATTTTAAAATGTAAATGTTGTGGACATTATAACTCGTCAATAAACTACAGTACAGTACCTGATGTAAGGGGCAAATCCGATTTATTGCATTAGGAATTTTGTTGCATCGGAAACCTCCACCCTCAGACCCCTATTTTGCCATTTTTTTCTTTTGGATACAAATACTGTGTTGAGTGTTTTAGAAATGTTTGGTAAGTAAAGAACCCAGTTACTGGTTAAGTGACGCTGTTACACCCCCATACAACATATGAGTTATGTGGATTATATTCATGCATAATGTATGAATTCATTACATGTTATATTTGTGGCTGGAAATTGGAGGGTCAATTAAATATTAACAATGTAGTATTTTAAGTGTTTTTATTAAGTGTGGAAATGTGGACTTTTATCTGATTTGTTCAGTTTTTGATTTAGATATTTTTCCCAGAACATAATCCCCACACATATCAAGGACTGCTTGTGTACCTAAAATTGTGAGTTCCTAATATGTTGCAGTATAATATGGAGATACAACTTACCCTCTTCTGAGAATGTTGCAGAGTTCTGAGAGTGTCTCCAAGTGGTCAACATGGATGATGATAGGCCGTAAGACATCATATAGCCCTGTACAGAGCCCCTGAAGAAATGTATCCAAATCTGGAGTCCCAGCTGTAAAAAACTGAAAAGTTTTCCAGTTTTATTATTAAAATATGTACACCAACATAAATACAATGATGAATTGTGTCCCTAAGTTTATGTCAGTGGCCTGCCAGGGACAGTTTGAATATGAAACGTTCTCATGACATCTCTACCGACGAGGGACAAGCAATCTTTTCAGTACAGTGCCGCCTCCAAAACAGATAAGATCACTTCAGATCTTCTGGATTTGTCTATTAATCATTAATCTTTCTAGATTTGTCTAATAGCAAGTGATATAATACATGTTTATGTATACACATATAAACATACAATATATAAATAACTTGTGTACCTAGAAATAATAATCACACACAATTTTAAACATTAATATGTTTACTTAAGAATAGGAGAAGAAACATTCACTCCAAGGGCAAGTACGAGGCTCAGCCAAGGCCAAGCAGTTGGTGGCAACGGTATTGGGCATGGGTCTGTGCTTCATAAAAGGCCAATGCAACTGGCACAGAAATGGATGACAACTGGTGAAGATACGAAAAGCCATAAAGACCACCAGACCACCTCATACTGGAGTCAGGGGAAAACAGCATATGTAACACTTAAAGAAATGCAACTGGGTCCCCATTTAGGTGGCAGTACAAATTATTTTAAAACTACAAACACGAAGATCATTGATTTGGATTTTCTCAGATACGTCAGTCTGCCTATCGTCTGGAAGATGTGGAGCTTCGGCAATGGCAGAAAATGAGGACAATGAGTGAGAAGGGCTGGAACCAAGAATGAATTGGCCAAAGAGGAGCAAACAGATTGACGTGACCAGTAACACTCTCCATTCTGACTAAAAAGATGAGGAGCTGGAGTAGAAGAGTGAGAAGTTTTGTACCAGACTCATGAGTGAGGTGGGCAGACAAGTGTAACTCTTGGGTGGCCTCAGTATATAAACTTTCCCTGCTCCTTACATTATTTAGTATGGTTGATTGTTGTACTGAATATACAGTAGTAAGAAAAACAAAAAATAATAAATAAGGCATCACTAATAAAAATACTGCATCATAAATATGGCTAGAGCCCTCAATATTTTACAAATAACTAAACTAATGAATGCAGAAAGCTCTTCAAACAACAATAATCATATCTCACCTGATGAAAGAGTGCATGTTCATCCTCACATACGTGGATGAGAAAGGCACACCCACTTCGCACCAATGTGCAATAATCTCGTTCATATTTCTGCGATAACTGAGAAACTGCATCGGCAACACAAGGCCCCATGAGTCTTTGTCGCTGAGAAAAGTAACACTGGTGGCAGTCACTAAGAAGATTTGTGTACTCAGGGCTAGTTTCAACTCTGTCTTCAATTTCTGCCATCAAGGATTTAATCCTAGGGGCATTAGTCCGAAATTTTCCATAGTAAAGAACAGCAGCATTGTCAGTGGTTGGTTTTTCTGTGCCAGGCTTACACAATACTTGCTGCGTAGCATTTTCTAAAGACTTTGTTACATATGACTTTACCATACCAAGAGCCCTGCTCAAGCAATGTTTATATTTAGCTAAATACAGAGAAGACTCTTGAAATGTTGGATTTGTATTCATATAACCAATACACTCATCAATTTTGGCTAGCAAAGGGATAAATCCTTCACTTGTAACTTGAAAAGCTGGAGAATTGAGCTTCTGGCTGATTCTATCTACCTCCTTAAAATAAGTAAGTTTACTTTCAATTGTGTCTGCTTTGTTGGTGAGTTGTGTCTGCTCTGCCAGCAAGTGCTCACAATCAGTATGAAGAGCACCAGTCTTATTTGATACACTGGTATACTGAAAAGCAAAAAATTTTTTTATTTAAACATTTAATTAAATTCATAGTTATTCTATAATATTTTATTGTGAATACCTGACAATAGACAAATAAATTGAGCATTAAATGTATTGAAACATCCTTTTCTGGTGGGCGCCAAATAGTTCCCAAGCTTGGTTCCAGTAACACCAAGCCTTATTACAACACATCAGGCTTCAGAGACCCAACATTGCACTATGATAGCCAGAATTAAAATCTGGTTCACTTAACAAGGCATGGGGAGCAAGGAGGGAATGAGAGCTCGGCTGCTAAACTGTGGAAAACCAACAAGAATGCATAGGTACAACAGAAGGAGCACTTATCTCTGCACATGAAAATACAGAGAAGGCTTTAAGGGTAGCAAACCTTTTAATTAATAATACCCACTGGAATTAAAGCCTCATGTATCAGGGAGTACACCCCCTCCCCAGTGTCTCAGATTTGAAAAGTGAACCACCCAGTGTCTCGGGTTTGGAGAGGGAATACCTAGTATCTTGGGTTTGAAAAGTGTACTTCCTCCCCGGTTTCTTGGAATTAGAATGTGAACCTCGTATTTCAGGTTTAGAAAGTGAACTTCTGTGTTTTTTATTCACATGTGAACCATGTGGAGGGGTTATGAAGTAATCCATCTAAGTTTCAGCTTGCAAACTTTCTACATATAATTAAAAAAAGTGAACTTTCTAAATAAGACTCATGAAGTGATCCTTCTACATAAGCTTATTACCTGTGAAGAAAGATGCTGAAGGTTATCAAGGGCATTATCAAGCTGAGCAAGTAGCGTGTGACATTCCAATCGATGGGCTTCCAATTGATTTACATAGTCACGATAAGGTCCATCTTGCTCTTCACACATGTCTCTCTCCACTTCAGCAAACCAAGACAAGAACTGGGAAAGTAAATATATGCTCTAATTAAAATTGATAAAACTGGGACTGCTCAAAATACTGTAAGAATATTTACATCTGAAGAACATAAGAATAAAAGCAACTTCGGAAGCCTGTTGGCACAAAAAAAAATTCCTATTCATATCCAACCAAATTTATTCATGTACAGTATATCTAACCTATATTTGAAACAATCCATTGATGTGACACCTATTATATATTTTACCCATCAGTGTGTTTCATAAATCTACACCCCAATTACCAAACCAGTATTACACAGTCTTTCTGGAATCTAAACTTACTCAGTTTGAATCCATTGTTTAGAGTTCTATATATTTTATGTTTAGATATTTAGCATCCTATTAATATTGGCTTTTTATTATATTCTTTCATCAATTTAAATATTCAATCATGTTGCCCTTACTCTCCAACTGTCGAGAATTAATGTAGACAAAACTCAAGCACTGAATGTGCTCAAGTTTTGAATGTGCCCATTCCAAACTGAATGTGCTAAACTAACATCGCAATGAGAAAATATTGAAAAAGTGAAACACCCAAAATGATAATTGGAACAGGCTAATTACAGCTACCCAACTCCCCTGGTTGCCACCTGAAGATAGCCCAGATCGCCCAGGTTCCCAGGCAGTAGGTCCCTTCACTCTCAGACTGCAGCTTCCACAAGGAAAGGAGGGAAATAGGATGGGAACAGGAAGCTAAGGTACTGCCCAGAAAAGGGAATTTCCTTATACTCATCGCTCTATTTTTGGACAAGCCCCCTCGTAGGTCCTTTGGAGCTTACTCCCAATGGCACCAACAGCAGTTGCGAGGTATCTAAAATTACACCCAATTTAAAATCAGTAAACAAAAAATGATTTTACACATATGGTTCCAGGCCATATGTGTAAAAGCAGCTGTTCTGGTGAGGGTCACAAAAAATATTATAAATTGCCATATGATATGCATGCCACTACAGCACTAGATTTGGACAGGCCCACAGCCAAATTTACAATCTTCCACAGGACCCATTAATGAGAAAGCCTAGTACATATTCACACAGGTCTGGTACTCACATAACCAATACAATATTTACCTGCTGACTTGATTCTATATGTACTTCTCCAAGTTTCAAGCGAGAGAGACTGCCAGGAAGGTTAGACTCTGGTGCTTGGTCGGGTGTGGGGCCGCCGCTGGCACCATCCACCTCATCACCCAAGGTCTCCTCCGTCACCTCCGCCGGCAGCGCCCTCCACCCTGACACCGCCGTCAACTCGATGATGGAGTCACGCTCCTCCGGCGTCAGCGGCGCCAGGGGTGTCCTGTCATCTTCCCAATTTGCAAAATTGTCTCGTACCCGGGCAATGTTTACATCTGCCACGTCTTCCATTTTTGTTTTGACAGCTACGTTATGCTCTCGCTGGAAATTTAAACATGCGGTAAATATGTATTAATACATTTTCATTTAAATCTATATTATATACAATAATTAAATAGAAAATAAAGTACTCTTTATTTTATTTTATTATTTGAATGTGGCATTGTTATTATGATTTTTGTAATGGTGTGGGTGAGCGAGCGAATTAGAATTGTACTTTTTTAGTGGTGTTGAGTTGTGATTGGTAGAGAATGCGGGAGCGGCGGTGGTAGCTGTGTTGTGGTGGAGAGGAGCACGTGCACCGTGTTGACGTTGGTGAGGAGCTGTGAGGCGGCAGGAGCCAGGGACGTGGTAGTGTTGTAGGCCAGCAGGAGAGTCAGCGTCACACCATGGTTGCCAAGAGTAGGTCCAGCGTCTGTTTGTGTGTGGTGGGTTGTGGCCGCCTGGTCTGGGGCCGGCAGTCTGGTCTGGAGCCGGGGGTGGCCGCCTGGTCTGGGGCCGGGTGGACACCACTTCCTTTGACCTCAACTAATACCCATAAAAATACCTGGGGCATGAGAATAAACGTAAAATGCCATGCATCTCCTATGTCTACCCAGCCAAGCATTCACATGTTTTATCCTTGACTGGAAATGCTTGCTCTTGCCCATGTCTGTTACCTATTAATTTATTCCATAAAGCAGCAACCCTATTTCCAAACCAATGTTTACCCAGATTTTATCTGAATCTAAACCAATCAAATTTGAATCCATCGTTTCTCGTTCTATTTCATCTTGATTTAAGATTGTTAGAAGCAATACATCTGGTCTGTTGGCCCACACTAGGTGGTCATGTTTAACCATACCATGAATGACACGTGGTCGTTCTGTTGCTCCTCCATTACTGCTACTCGTGCCCTGTACTGAGAGGTACAGAGGACGAATCTGAGGTGCCATTCATTCATGGCTCCTTAGCACTGTAATGACTCTGTATGCAGAGTTAAAGTTCTCTGTGGTGCTAGTGCAGTATGTCATCCTGTATGACTGCATGATCCTGTCGTTTGGAAACATTGGGTAACTTTCCTATTTTCAAAATCTTAATTTTTAGCTTGGATTGAAGTAATACATTATTTAATAAAGGTGCATACAAGTTACTGTTTAACATTATAATGAATTTCCAATTATATATTGGCATAAACCATTTCAGTGAATACAGTGGAATCTTCAAATCTGTGTCATTCAAATACTTATAAATGTTATATATTTTCAGAGAGGAAGACCAAACGAGTTACTTTTAAACTCAAATATAAGATAGAGAAGAAAGTTCGGAATCATCATAAAAAACTGAAGAAGGAGAAAAGAAAGCACCCAGAAAAGTTTAGAAGTAAGTACTGGTACTGTATAAAATAATATTTTAGAGCTAGTTAAATTGTTTTGTTTTTTTTAGCTTAAGTTTTTGACTTTCATGTTAATCAGAGAGTAATGTCGAGTTATTCAGTAAATTTTCCATTCACCTGGGCTCTTAGGAGTGACGAACCGTGGACCCCACGTGTGTGCGAGGCCGAGGCTCTATCAACTGGGCTACGAGTAGTCTTATTATTTATATTATTCAGTAAATGTTATGATTAAGAACACATTTGTAGCATTGTGAATCATAATTGTTAAACAAGAACCATAGTAAACTAGGAATTTAATTTTTTTGTTTTTTCAGAAAGGACTAAAGATCCTGGAGTGCCAAAATCACTTCCCTTCTATGAGGAGGTCATACAAGAGGCAGAAGCAGCAAAGGAGGCTCGAGAACGACGCAGAGAAGAAGCTAAACTTCGAAGAAAGGAGCAGAAAGACCAAGTTCTTGCCAAGAAGAGAGATATTGAGTACAGTATATAAAAATTGCATAATTTTTTTTCAAGATGTTCTACCTCTTATTTATCTCCTTTCCTAAATATATTTACCTTTTTTTTTCATAGTGGAGTTATCTGCTGAAGAGCATTATTATATGATGCGTTTTCTGAATAGATGAGAGTAGGGTAGGAATGCAGGAAGTTCTTTCCCTCACTATGATATCCTTTGTTTCAGTTTAGGTTCAGCATACCCCATTTTGTATAAGTTTCATGCAGTATAGATAAAAATGTATTGAAGCTGGCCTCATTGAAAATTTAAACAAGAGGGTAGATATTGAACCTTATCTAACCTATTATATAACATAATTTCTTAAGACAATATATTTGTATACGAGACTTTTGAGGATATAGGGAACCCAGTGAAGCCCTAAGTTATGAACCAATGTGCTGACAACTAGATGGTAAGGTGAATGATAGTATTCCTTGTTCAAAAGGTAACTTTGATAAGTAACTTCGAATTGCCAAAAATCCCATCATTATATACTCATAGTAGAAAATACCTAACAAAACTAGGGGCCTGAATGTTTTGTGTAAATTTTCAGGCCATACTTTTGAGGTGGTGCTTGTGGGACTGGTTCTTCATGATTCTATTAAGTATGGAAGGTGTGGGATACGTATAATTTTTTACAATTTCTTACATACAGGAAAAATATTGTACTGGATGCCGTCTTCAACCAGGCATTACTACCAGGTATGCAACCCTGCGTAATGATATTGTCTGTTCTTTAAAGGACAATTAATAATAAATTGTTTTCTTTAACCATTAGAAACATAGATGAGCTCATTCGAACCGCTGAGGAGCGTGGTGCCAAGTTTGAAGCAGACAAGGCTAATACAGCAAGTTTAAGCAGCAGCTTAAGTGACAGATCTGCAAAGGCATACTACAGAGAGTTCAAGAAGGTATGCTTATATATTTAAGTCACTACAACAAGAACTTTTAGTTAGGTATTCCCAACAGGAATACCTCATGATTTTGTGAGAATACAGTAATATTTTTTTTTAATTTCAATGTGGTGCCCCTGTGATATGCCGAACTCTATGTATTGGCTTGATACTCGTATAAATGCACAGAATATTTCTATTGTTACTGGGCCTTACAGCCCCATGCTGTAAGATTTTGAAACCATTTAAACATTTTAATAGGTAGGGGTTACCTTACCTTGTGGTGGTTCTGAAGATCAACATCCCCGCGACCCGGTTTCTGACTAGGTTTCCTGGTTGATGGTCTGGTTAACCAGGCTGTTGAGGATGGCTGCTTGCAGCCTGACATGAATCATAGCCTGGTTGATAAGGTATCCTTTGGGGTGTTTATAGTTTTCCTTTGAATACCATGAGAGGCTGGCCAGTTATAACCCATACGTGTAATGGGAGCATGTTGAACAGTCTTGGGCCATTGATGTTCTCTCTCAGCATACCTTTGTGTCTTGGCTTTTCAACTGGGCTATTTTGCATATGCTGCTATGCCTTCTGATCTCGGGTGATGCTATTTCTATTTGCAGATTTGGAACCAGTCCCTCTAATATTTTCTAAGTATAAATTATGTATTGCCCTCCTGTGCTCTAGAGAATACAGATTTACAAGTTTTAATTGGTCTCAAAATTTAGATGTTTTATTAATTGCATTCTAGCAGTAAAGATCTTTGCAAGCTCTCCAGGTCACCAATTTCTCCAGCTTTGAATAGGGTTGTTATTGAGGGACGGACGGAGGAGAGAGAGAGAGACGGGGTGATGAAGGAAGAGGGAGATTCATGCCAAACACCCTTTAGGTTCACGGGTTGGGTGCTAAGGCTCGTGTTGCCCAGCTCACTTTTTAGGGTGGCTGCTTCTATTTTGGTTATGCCAGGTGTCACAGGCAGCTTTCAATCTTAGCCCCTGTGGTAGCAGCTGTAGGCCTCTTTGTAATGCCTACTTTTCACCTCGGTTGAGAAGTTTCAGCTTATCACATACCTACAGTACTTTGAAAAACACAAACGGTAGTTTACCAAGATAATCTGTGATGCCAGGGGTTGAATGCCACATTTAAGTTATATAAATACATTACAATATAAATAAAATAATCTTATGTTTTATTACCTAGGTTGTTGAAGCAGCAGATGTTATCTTGGAAGTGCTAGATGCCCGTGACCCTTTAGGAACCAGGGTGCCTCAAATGGAATCTACTGTCGTAGGTCAGCCGGGTAAGAAGTTAGTTCTGGTGCTTAACAAGGCTGACTTAGTGCCCCGAGACAATCTTGAAAAGTGGCTAAAATACCTTCGCCGTGAACATCCAACTGTAGCTTTCAAATCAAGCACGCAGCTCCAAAGTTCCCGTCTATCACAGTCAACCGCTAAGTAAGTTAGTAGTTGTAGATGTTACTCGAAGTCAACAAGCTAAACTAAAGAAAGGAATGGATGTAACAAGGCATTATGATATCCAAGTGTAACGGGTTTATTGAAGTACTGTATATATGTAACAAGCATCCATACTATTTTTCCTCTGAACTTTTTCCAATATCCACCTCATTTACAATACAAGGCTGCTATTAGTACAAATTTACTTCTATATATCCGTGCAATAATAATTTTTTTCTCGTTCCATTTTAGCCTGAACTCAGCCATGTTATTTTGTTTTGAGTATTAAAAAACATTTATTTACAATATCTACTTGATTTAACGACCTACATGGAGTTGCACCCAGCTCGTTAAATCCGGGGCTCCACTAAATTAAAGATTTTAAAATGTCGGAAACTGTTTGGTCATATTTGGGAGAGCAACAGGATGGATGGTTGGGGGGCTTGCTGGTTAACTGGCTGGTAGGTAGGTGGGTGGGCAGGGAAGTGGGCTGGATGAATGGGTAACTGGCAGGCAGGAGTGGGAGTGGGCAGGTGGACTGGCTGGCTAGTGGGCAGGCAGGGTTGGTGGGTGGATGGGTGGGGCAAGCAGGTGGACTATCACAGACTAGCTGTGGTCACACCACATCCCCTCAGCACCCCCCACCCCATCTATGCTACATCCTACTCTCCCAGATATATCTTCCTCTTCTCCAGCAGCATCTAGGCAGTCGGTACAGGACATCTTTATTAATTTTATTTATTTATTTATTTACAAGAAGGTATATTTGGGTTTGTTTAAGTACATTACATTGGTGTTCTGTAAACATCATCTCAGACTCATTTTGTTTACAAACAATGACTGGGTGCTATCACAACTGCAAATGCCTATCTATCTTTGACTGGTCATGACTGACTGTGACTTGTGACTGTGAATGTCTATACTATACGTAGACAGCATGCATATATATAATAGTTGGAAAAAAAATTATTTCAGCAAAAATTGTGTTTATTTTACAAATTTTTTCTCCATCAGAATTCTACAGTCTACAAAGGCACTTATGCAATCTTCACGATGCTTGGGTGCCGATGTTCTCCTACAACTTCTGAAGAACTACTGCCGGAATAAAGACATAAAAACTGCAATTACAGTTGGTGTTGTAGGGCTTCCCAATGTTGGGAAGAGTAGCGTAATCAACAGCTTGAAGCGTAGCAAGTCATGTGGTGTTGGATCAACTCCCGGTCTCACAAAGTAAGAGCTTCTAATAGAATCTGTTCATTTTATCCCTTGCAAATCCTCTCTTAACCACCACCTTCTAACCCATTTCTCTTGTATATTTATTCTTCTCCCTCTCCAAAGTGTGTTGTGAAATTGATCTGAAAAATCCTTTGAATTATTATTTTTATTTTAAATGTGTATACACAACAAACTGTAATAATTCATTCACATGATATTTACAGAACAATGCAGCAGGTTCAATTAGACTCAAAAATTCAATTGCTGGACTGCCCAGGGATAATTCTTCCTGGTGGGGATGCTTCTGATGCTACAGCTGCACTCCGAAATGCTATTAAAATTGAGCAGTTGGACGACCCCATAAAACCTGTTGAAGCTGTATTAGCTCGGGCAAACAAAAACCAGGTAAGGAAATGGAATTGCAAAATTTCGTATAGTATTTTATCCCTTTTAATCATTGGCACTGCTGAAAAACACAAGGTTGCATTCCTGGACTTGTGTATTTGCCATTTCCTCTCCATAGTGCAAGTAATTGCTGGTGAAAATTATTAAATAAAGTTGCCAAATGCATTATTAACGTTACCAAATGTATTAATAGCCCTTCAACTGCTCATGACAACTGGGGTTGTTTCAATTGTGGAGACCCACAATTGAAGACCCACAGGCTCCTGAGTGGACAGCGCTTCGGATTCGTAGTCCTGAAGTTCCGGGTTCAATCCCTAGTGGAGGTGGAGACAAATGGGCAAAAAGTTTCTCACCCCGATGCCCCCATTACCTAGCAGTAAATAGTTACCAGGGCGTTAAACAGCTGCTATGGGCTGCTTCCTGGGGGTCTAATAAAAAGGAGGCCTGGTCGAGGACCGGGCCGCGGGGACGCCAAGCCTCGAAATCATCTCTAGATAACCTCAAGATAACCCATCCTGGCCGTGATAACCTCGACACTAACACCACAACGATAGGTAATCCATGGGTAGCCCCTGTTGCTGCAGCTCTGATCACTGTCGTGCAGCTCGTATAACACAGCTTCATTTAATAATTACTAAATATCTGCAATATTCATTGATGATACCGACATGGAAAATTGACGGCAAAAAAAGATCGTGTAGAAGTTTCAGATATCGGTAAACCCAATCCTGGTTAGGTTGTTACCAAAGCCAGACACAGACAGGCAGATACAGCACACAGCCACAGTTTTTGCCTCTGCACATCATGCAAAGGAATCATATGTTCCTTATGCAGGCGATGAGTCACAATAACGTGGCTGAAGTATGTTGACCAGACCACACACTGGAAAGTGAAGGGACGACGACGTTTCGTTCCGTCCTGGACCATTCTCAAGTTGAATGTGAGAATGGTCAATCTACTTGAGAATGGTCGAGGATGGACCGAAACGTCGTCGTCCCTTCACTTTCTAGTGTGTGATCTGGTCAACATGTTCCTTTACAAATTATTTCTCACATTTATTCATTTTCTAAAAGTATGAAATATTAAGATAAAGCATTTTCATGAGAGTAGACAATATAAAGGACACAGCAAATGTCCAATTTGCTGTTAATGAAATCTTTCAATGGGCCACAGAAAATAATATGATAATGAGGATAAGTTCCAGTTACTGCACTGTGAAACGAAAACAAAGAAATTAAAATATCAAAACAGAATCTACATAAAATGCAGTAAAAAATCTACGAATAATCATGTCAGAAGAACTTTTAAAGAACACAACAGAGCTGTCGTAACTACAAGAAAAATGACAGGTTGGATAAAAAGGACCTTTCAAACGAGATGCCACACCAGTAATGCTTTTTAAGATACTAGTGCTCTTTAGAGTGGAATATTGTTGCACACTAACAGCCCCATTCAAAGCTGAAGAAATTGCTGACCTGGAGAATGTGCAAAGATCTTTTACTGATAGAATCCATTATAAAATATCTAAGTAATTGGGGCCGGTAACAAATTTTAAATGTGTGTTCCCTAGATTGTAGGCAAGAGAGATACATAATAATGTACTTTGAAAATACAGTACTAGAAGGACTGGTTCCAAATCTGCACACATAACACCAGAAGGCGTGCAGGATGTGCAAAATAACTCCATTGAACAACAGAGGTGCAATAGGCATGCTGAGAGAGAACTCAACATCAAAGGCCCAAAACCTTACAACACTCAAAAACCACACATATGGGGCATAACTGGCCAGCCTCTCTGTGTTCAATGAAGAAATTTTCAAAGAATACCTAATCAACCAGGCTGTGAGCAGCCACATTGAAAAACCTGGTGAGAGACCAGATTGCAGGGATGTTGATGCTCGGAATCAACAAGTATACCATGTTAAAATTTTAAATTGGTTACATTTTTCTAACAACAAAGTGGTCCACATTATGTATCCTTGTGCAGAACATTTGGTCTACTGTATTTGTTAAAACTAAGCTAAATTTGTACTCTTATATATTTAATGTTCACAGCTGATGATTTACTACCGCTTGCCCGAGTTCCATAATGCAGATCAGTTTCTGGCATTGTTGGCAAAGCGCTTGGGGAAATTAAAGAAGAAAGGCATTCCTAACAGAGAAATTGCTGCTCGTAAAGTATTACAGGACTGGAACACGTAAGTTATTTTGAAGTTTTAAAATTTTTCATGAACTTTGCTTTATTTCTATAATTTAACGTTAAGTACATTTCTTTATATCTGGCAAGATGCATAATATATTATTTATATTACAATAACTATAATTATTTTTACTGACAACTTAAGGAGCCAGGTGCACAATTTCTCAACCTTCCTCAAACACTTATATTTTTTGTGCATAATCTACATGATAAATGCTCCAACTTTTCCTAATGGATCAACATCATAACATGAACAGGGGAAAAAAAAAATAAACAATTTCAAATTTCTATATTTTTAAAATTTCACCCGTTTTTATTTTATTAATTATGGGCTCAGAATGGCATATAACATTCATTTTCCTTAACAAAAACTTTAGTTTGAGAGTATAGTTTTACTGTAAATAAAAATAGTCAAGATGGCCTTCAAAATATGTGCAAAATTTATATGCAAAAATGTAAAACTCCCATATATGTGTTTTACAAGAATAAACGGTTTTATGGAAACCTTAGAACTAAGACCTTTGCATGTAATATGTAAAAATGATGGGAATTGCACAGACACTGAATTTTTTCTTATGATCTCAAAGTTGAAAATCCTGTTCACACAGAAAAATGAAGGTAAAAGTTTTGACAATAAATATAGTAGTTCAAATTGATGTCATATCTTGTAAGTTTTAATAAATATTGTTTGGCATTCGTACTCAAATATGTGAAAGTTGTAGGTCAATATATGTTGAAATGAAGTCAATAAAAAATAATCCCTCGGAAAAGCAAAATATAGGGTTGAGGGTAATGGGTTAGGGTTAGGGTAATGGGTTAAATATACTACTTTATATAAGTGATAAAGCCCTCATTCAGCAAAAAAAACAACCTAAAGAGACAAAGAAAGTAGTTTGAAGTCTGTGAATAACTCGACCCCAAAAAATTAAGTCAAGTTCTGCCATCTGTGACTGATTTAAATGTTGACCATGATTTAAATGTTGACCAATTTCGTTCCAACTTCACATACTTGGTGAAGGGAATGTATTCTCCAAGATGTAGAAGCCACAACAAAATCAGACGAGAAATATAGAGATTTATTTTGGGGCTGCATCCTTTGTGCAACTTTTTGGATACATTTCAAATGATGAGCTTTTGAAATAAACATTCACATAATCTGATTACATTTATTTCAGCGGCCTCATAAAATACTACACACAACCCCCAGAAGTTGCCAACACCCAAGTTGGGACAACATTGGTCACCGAGTTAAGTAAAGAGTTTGACATAGACAGTCTTGTGTTGGAAGAAGGATCAATGCTGTCAGCTCTGCCCACTTTTAGACCGTCACAAACAATGTTGGTGGACTCCTTAGGGCCAGTTATGGAGGTAAAAGATGGGGAAGATAACATGGATGAGGAAGATGCTGCAGAAGAGGATGAGATAGATGATGATGATGAAGAGGATGAGGTAGAAGATATGGAAGATAATGAAGAGGTCGTTGAAGATAATAAAGTGGTAAGTTTTTATTTACAGATATATAAAAGCTTAATTCATTCCAGTAATTATTCTACTGTGATCCCTTATACAAGTCAAACTGTTTTAAAAGGCTCTAGATGTCTTCTGTGTGTGAACAGAAGGTAAATTAATTCTCATCATCCCATGAAGATACTTATCATGTCCCCCCTGTCTGTGAAGATAATAATTGTACAGTATTACTAATTCAACAATATATTATTTTTATATTGCTATTCCAGATAAGATAAATTTAGTTTAAACAAAGCATTTTTAGCAATAATGCTTGATGTTGTACTGTTACTTTATTTATTGTACTGGATTTAGTAGTAGACTTCAGAGCAGGCTGTTGATATAAGCAATAATTTTTTTCAGTTATCAAAAGATGTACGCATTAATATGGATGCCAGTTCGACTGGTAGTGAGTCCGTTGACAAGAGTGAGAAGTTGGAACGTTGGGAGACACCTTTACAAGAGTTTGATCCGCAGTCAATGTCTTTGAAGAAATATCAAAAAAAGATGCAAAAGAAGGCTCGCAAAGAAGGCAATCGCAATGTCAAACGAACAGACGATCTTACACTCGCATTCCAAAGTTTTTCAGGATTAAAGGATAAAGACGAATATGATTTTCATGCATATTTTGAAAAATAGCTATTTATGTTTAAATTAGTTTCCTTTCACTCATAAAAGAAATGTGTATATTGAAGTGTGCATATACAGTACAGTATATAAAAAAATTCTTTGTATTCATTAAACCAGTGTGAATAAAGTGTCTAAACTATTTTTATTTTCATACCTTGCAAATGGATGCTGTGTTAGAAGTTTTATCATAACCTATAGGAATTGCCTTGCTTTTTATATTCTTTAGACCAGGGTTTCTCGAGCAATGTACCCTTGAAATAATTCAGAGTTTACTTAGAGACAATTTCTGTCTTTGCTCTTGATTCTGGTAGTGAGAAAAACTACTGGTTAAATGAGAAAAGCTAAATACAAAAATGGCTCAAAAATTGATGTGTATATTAGAATTAACCTATTTATCGCTAAATCTTGCAGAACCCCAAGGTTACTAGGGGTTCTGTGGACCCCTGGTTAAGAAACACGGATTTGTGTGTGTATGACTTTAAACAGTCCTCAGAGACAAACTTGACTTGGGGAGGGTGGGCTTGTACATGCCTTTCAGGATAGTTAAGTGAGGGGGAATCTTGGCAATGGCTTGAGCAAGCAATTGCATTAGTTGCCTCCCCAGTTAAAATTGAGGAGTTGTAATTTATGAGCACCCTCCCTCCCTTTTAAACCCAAACATCGATGCAAAACTATATACGTGTATGTGTAAATCGCGAAAATAAACTCTTGATTAAAAATGTCTCAGACCACAAAGGAAAATTGAAACAGGAATTTCCTTAAGTACTTTCGTATATTAATACATCTTCAGAAGGAGTGATTTTACAGGTCAAATATTGGACATAAATAGGCAGGAGAGAATGGTTGAGTGAGGTGAGGTACAATAACAAATGAATGGGAATTAGGTGGACACAAATACGAGCCGCACAAGAAATGCTTAAAAGCCTATTGGCCCATACGATGCAGCTCCTATCCATACCCACCAACAGGCCCACACATGGATTATAATTGCATAAGATAGTAAATATTTACAATGAATTAGTGAGACAAATGTGTTCCAATGATTCTACTCAAATCCCCCTTTAATTTATCTATCAAAAATTGATCTAAGTTATAAACCACTGCTAATGTTCAAATTACTTTTGTAATCTGCATCAAAGCAGATTCAATTATGTTTGTTATAAATGCTTTTACAATTCGTTATTGAAGAAGTCATCTCAATTTGGCGAGCATCTGACAGATGAACAAACAAAGCATTAGACAATTGGCCATGTCTTACAGAGTATTTATGTTGCGAAATTCTACATTTCAAATCTTTAAAATGTTTGCCCAACATAGAACTTATTACAGTCTTTACAAGGTATTTTATAAATGACAACTATCACTACGAGGGCTGTTCTTAACTAATAGCTTACCAACAGTATTTTCGTAGCTAAACAATACATGTATATTAAAAAGTTTCAAGGCCTTGACAATATTCTCAAACCCAGAGAAATATGGTAAACATAACACATTCTTTGTACCTTTACCTAAATAAATATTATTATTATTATTATTATTATTATTATGGAGAATTCTTTCACTGCACATATTATAATATGTACGACGTACTTTGCTACGGCTAACTTCCAAAAAACTCAGTGGGTAACAAAGCTCGAGACCAATCGAATCAATAATCTTAAACTCAATCACAAAGTTTAAATCACAATCTTAACTCTAAAATGAATATCACCGCTCGCTAATGGTATGTACAGTAGTCAGAAATGCATCTAACCCTCCCCCCCTGCCTGTTAGAAAGGGCATGGGCCAGTAGTTAGAAATGCCCCGACCCATGGCGGGACCATGGGTCGGTGCACTAGGAGTAATGGTTATTTTCGATTGGTCTTAACTGTAGCCTCTGTTTACCCAACAGTGAACGGCTCGGCTTCGAAATCATCTCAAGGTAAGGTAACCAGTGAATAGGTACCTAGTTGTTAAACGATTTGGCGGGTCGTATTCCAGGAAAAATTAGGATTAAGGACCTGCCTGAAACACTATGCGTGCTAGTGGCTGTACAAGAATGTTAGAACTCTTGCATATGTATAAATAAAAATAAATTAAATTAAGCGACTTGTGGGATGTATCCTGGACCGGCAGCCTCGACCCTAGGGGACCTAAGTAACCCTAACATGCTTTCTGACCCCCCCCCCCCATTCATAATCTAAAACAAAGCCATTGAATTGCAAGGGATATATGAATGGACGAGTGAATTTTTATTAATATTTTTAACCTTCTTTTACGATATTCTGTATTATTCACAGTTTCTCTCTGGAATGACGCCATCCCATTCTATAAAAGCGGGAAGCGGGATAATGATAATATAAGTGACTCATTGTTGTCAAGCCTGTGTCTCCCCGGCTGGTGGAGACAATAAATAATAAACCTTAAATAATTAATAAATTAAATAATAAACCTTCGTGGAGACCGTGTGTTCTGGATGTGTGTGGGGTTCGCAGTCGTCTTCCCAGGCACCCAACGGCCATTGTACCCAAGAGCAACGACAATTCAGCGCCGAATTAACTTCACTAGTAGACTATCAACACCAGTAGGCTACTACCACCACACCAATACCAGTACACTACCACCATCAATAGGCTACCACCACCACCACCACAACCCATTAGCCTACATGGATACATCTTTAATAGACAATAGATGGTACTTAAATTAAGGACGGCTATTCATATGACCCTATTAGTGTGTGTGTTGTTTGCAACGGTGTTAAATATAATATAGGAGTGTGGTTGACGAGGTTGTGGTGGTTGGCCTGGTATAAGTAGTCGGCTGTAGGCGACGGGGGTGTACCGGGGCGCCCAAGTCGAGCTCCATTGTTTTATATCTGAAGGGTCAGTTGTGTGAATGGCTGATCCCCTCCTCCACCCTTATGTCTGCTTAATGCATACGTACTCCAGAACCTTTGTTCGCTATATCGATCTTCTCTTGAAGCCGGATCTAGTCTCAAGGTGTCCTGCTGCTCCGGTACTACTCAATCCCGTTACCCAGACTCCCGCCGTATTAGGTATCATTATCCAGCCCGTTCTCGCCTGTGTTCCCCAACGTCAAGAAACTGTCGTTCCCTAACCTACCGTCCACGAGATAACTACCAGAGGATCGAGGATACCTAAAGGATCCACGAGGCCAGAGGATCCACGAGGATACCTACCAGAGGATCCACGAGGATAACCTACCAGAGGATCCACGAGGATAACCTACCAGAGGATCCACGAGGATAACCTACCAGAGGATCCACGAACAGAAAACGGAACATTATATCCGAACATAAACGTTTGGCCTTGAGGTAAACTACGTCAAAATGCGACGTGCTATGAGGACAGATTGAACGCGATGAGCATCCGGGTTTATCATTCATGCTTAATTTGCCCTATTTTCGTCGGATATAATTTGTTGATATGCACTTATATTAATTATTAAATGTTTTTAAAAATTGTAAAAGCAAATAGAACGCTTTCAGGAACCCGTTGATCCAACAGCCTCAACACTGGCACTCACCTAATTGTGCTTGCGGGGGTTGAGCTTTGTCTCTTTGGTCCCGCCTCTCAACCGTCAATCAACTGGTGTACAGATTCCTGAACCTACTGGGCTCTATCCTATCTACACATGAAACTGTGTATGGAGTCAGCCTCCACCCCATCACTGCCTAATGCATTCCATTTATTAATTACTCTGACACTGAAAAAAATTCTTTCTAACTTCTCTGGCTCATCTGAATACTAAGTTTCCACCTGTGTCCCCTTGTTCGTGTCCCACCCGTGCTGAACGTGCTGGTTGTGTTGTGTTGTGTTCTCACCTATTTGTGCCTACAGGGTCGAACATTAGCTCCTGGGGCTAGATTCACGAAGAAGTTACGCAAACACTTACGAACCTGTACATCTTTTTTCAATCTTTAGCTGCTTTGTTTACAATTATTAAACAGTCAATGAGCTCCGAAGCACCAGGAGGCTGTTTATAACAATAACAACAGTGGATTCGCAAGTTTTCTTGCTTGTAAACTGTTTAATAAATGTAACCAAAGCCATCAAAGATTGAGGAAAGATGTACACGTTCGCAAGTACTTGCGTAAGTGCTTCGTGAATCTGGCCCCTGGACTCTGCTTTTCTATCCGCCGGTTGTCTAATGCAGTGACTCCTGGCCTGTTTCCTTATCATATCTACTTTTAAAATTATGAATAGAGTTTACTTCTACAATTTGCTTATTTAGTTAAATTATGTTTTCCCACTACTGTTACGCTAAATGAAAACTTTTTTAACATTTCTATCACTCATCCAAGTCTCAAGCTTACATCCATATCCTCTAGTGCTATTGTGAGCATTTAATTTTGTTTCCATTGTCAATCCCCCATGAGTATTTTGTAAGTCTTTATCATGTAGCCCCTCTCTCCTCCTTTCTAGCGTCGTCAGGTTTAGTTTCTTCAGTCTTTCTTCATAACCCTTGCAATTCTGGGACGAGCCTTGTTATGGGAGGGAGAAGGGTGGGGGGAGAGGGGAAGGGTGAGGGGAAGAAAGGAGATGTGGGACATGGGAGGGAGAGGGTGAATGGGGTGAGAGGGAAGAGACAGACAGGAAGACAGCAGACAGACAGACCTGACAGTGTCAACCCAGGTTCAACCGGATATCCCACCTAGTCAGTATATATAAATAGAAATGTCTGTCTGCCAGGCTGTCTGTCTGTCCGAAGTTGGAGGCCAAGTAGCTTGGGGCTACGCCCAATTTGTCCAGTAACTGCTGTCGGGTACGTGTACAACATGGGTGGGTCAGTACTACCATGAATGAAAAGAGTACAGTGTGCTAATGCTGATGAATCTACCAATACAGTATCATATTAAATGAGCTTAGAATTTTGTGTTTTCTTTTTTTTGTCAATGTATAATGTAAAATAGTATGCAAGGATGTCCTAAAATTTCTCAAAACCTTTCAACCATATTTTGCTCTAATATGTAAGTGGTAGTGAGAGGGGGGAGGTGCAGGGAGGGGGGGGGTGTAGGCTGGGGGTGGGGAGGCTCTCTGAGGTTGCCGTGTTGTTCGGTTGTGGGAAGGGGAGGGATGGAAGGGAAAGAGGAAGGGTGATACACTTCCCAGCAACTCCTTCCAAAAAGGTCCAACT